AAGCACCATCCCACATTCTAAATATGTAGCCAATGATTAGTTTTCTTTCCTTTTTGGCTTTCTCACATCAGCTAGAATTAATAAAAAAAAAATGCATGAACTTAATGGAAATCTTAAAATGGTAACATGTTCTTTTTACCTATATATAAATGGACTGAAATGTAACCAAAATGTCATTCTTACTCATCTTACTGCTGATCTCTTTTCCCACCCCATTTCTCCCTTTCTTTTTGAAAGGTTACAAGTTTTCTGTCAAACACCATAGTTGGTTGTGGTTGGAACTCGAGGCACGCAAACATGCATGGGCTGCACCATGAAAGGCTAGAGCGTGATACTGACATATTCGCTTGTCGAGTTTGCGGTGATATTCTCATGGGCAAGAAAGCTCTATTTGATCACATGGAGCTTCACCTATTACTTAATGACAGTGCTACAATCAAGCAGATTTTACTAAGTCATTTGTCGCCCATCCAAAGTACCCATTTTACCAACCATTTCAACCAAAATCCTGGTCTACCTATAGAAATAGGCCTTTTTTCCATTAGAACCTATACTGGATATCCTGATCTACAATGGTTACCCCATCGCCTATTTGTTTGGGGTCTAGAAACAACCACATGCCACTGATCCAAACACAACTGCCAACAACTTATGGTTGTGCAATTCAAATATGGGTGCTAGAGCCTCAAAATCAATGCTTCACCAGGCCCTTTCTGAACCAATTGGAGACAACCTTGCTAGATGAAAGAATGGGAACTATCCTTGATAAGGAAATTGCTGCTAAATTCAGAGATCAACAAATGTTGGATGTGAACTTAAAACTAAGATCAGAAGATTAGGATGAAGGATTCATTAGATTTCTTTATAAACTATACTATCTAGGCTATGATGTTTGTTCTTATGACGTTTTTACTATTGCTAACTATCGTGGTCACCACACAGTTATTTGATATGTTAATCTTTATTTTGATGTTGTATTAGGGTTGGCTTCAAATATTTATAAAATTGCAATGAGACTTTATCATTTGTCATATTGGAGCATCACTTACATAAGTTTATTATATTATGTATATATATTTACTCATAGATTTCGCGCAAAAATTTAAATTGTTATCAACAGCTCTTTTTTATAAATTTAAAAATCATATTAATTATGACATTAAAAATTAATTACTTTTTATTGTCTAAGTAATTTGTCAATTAAGTAGATGATGTTATTTACCTTATGATTATTTAGGATACATCAAAATTTGAAGAGAAAATACAAAAAATTTTCTTTAAAAATAGAACTTTCTAACATATGCATGAACTATCTTATCGCGTGCAAAATTTAATTACCATCAACGGTTTTTTTATAATTTTAAAATGAAATTGATTATTTTACATAAAAATTAATTACTTATCTAATTAATTTTTCAATGAAGTGGTTAATTTTATTTGTTATATGATCATATCATCACTTTGTGAAAAGAGAGAAAGGGGATATTCAACAAATTTTATGTGAAAAGTTATGAATATTTCCTTTTTTGTTTAAGCAAATAAATTTCAACCATCTGTATGGAATATCTTATCTCAGTCAAGTTCAAAGCTGTCAAGATTTTAAGGAGTATATATGGTAAGAATCTGAATTACCACATTCATTTGCTATACAAGTGTATATAGATCCTTTAATAAATTTAGATGCACAAAAATAATTAATGGTGGTCAAATCATTATCCTTCCAAAGATTATGTGTAGGGAGCCAGATACTAGATTTACAATGCATTACGAATAATATTTTTATTTGGCTCTTAAAACCAAATGACAGTTCATGAATATATATATGGTCTTTGCTTATTTTTACGTTTTAAACCTTTTTATAATAAAATTTTAAGTACTCATTTATTTAAAGTATTGATTAAATGGGCAGAAAAAAAACTACACTAGTTCGAATATGCTATTCACAAGAATGATCTCCCTTGTAAAATTTATATGAATTTTTCCATATATGCAATTTATATATATGTAATAAGTAGATGGTTAAATTATGCAATTAGTCCATAAGCTCTATAAAAAATTTAGATTTAGTCTCTATATAATAATTTGTACAAATTGAATCTTTTTACTTTTATCAATTTGTTAATTTTAATTCCTAACTCTAACATAGTTAAATTAACTGTTAACATATACATGAGCATTTGGCTCATTGGTTGATGCATTATCCCCTACCTAAAAAGCAGGGATCAAATACCCCTCCCCTAATTATAAAAAAAAAATTAACTGTTAACATTGGTGATTGTTAAGTTTTTGTGTGATTGTTGTTTGACTTGGGTTTTGATTGTTGGATGTTTTGGATTGGTGCTTTTGCACAATGGTTCTTCTTGGCTCTCATTTTTGTCCGGCAAGGTGAGTTCTGTTCAGGGTTAACCCTTGGCTAAACCCACCCAAGCAAGGGCTTTAAGCTTAAAATTTAAAAAAGTTTCGTATTTTTATAATAATAATAATAATATATTTACCTATTCTTTCATGCTTCATAAATATTTATTTTCTGTCACTTCCACATTTATTAATTCTGAACTAATTATCTCATTTTTTATTAAAAATATGTAAAAAATCAAAAGTTATTAATAAATGATATATTTTCTCACTTCTTTAATTAGGTATCTAATAAATCTTAATCTTTTATTGTTCCCAACTATCTTTTTTTTTCAATTTATAATATCCACTCTAGAATTTTTCTTCCATCATTTGCTCTTTCTTTCTTTAATTTCATATTTCCTCCAAATAATATACATCAAGTCTATTATGTTATTTTCTTCGTAAAACTACAAGCCTCATTTACGATTTACAATAAATATTCAATAATTAGGTACTATTATTCTAATCTTTTCAGATTTTTTTACTTTAATTTAAAGTTTATATTATATTATTATATTATCTTTATTTTATATAATCGTTAATTTATTTGAATTAGAATTTTGATTGTTGATTTTATAATAACTATTTAAAAAATATAAAATAATTATAATAGTTAAATATTTTTTGTACTTCATAATAAATATTTGAATATGTCAACTCGAAAATACGAATTTGGTTAGTCAAAGCTTTAAAAAAAATTTCCTTAATTTCAATAAGAATGCCTCATTTGAATACTTTGCTTTAGGCCTTTTAAGGTTATTAAGCCGCCATTGATTCAATTGCTAAAATCCCTTAACTATCTTGGTGTTGACTTGATGCAGCATTGTAACCTTCGGTTAATGAAATCTCAAATTTTACCTTTCAAAAAAAAACAAGGGTCAAATACCTTGACCATTCAAAGTTTGACAATAATTTAATATAGGTTCATTAGTTTTTAAAATAGATATTTTGCTCTAAATGGATAAATAGTATTAATACTTAAATGTAAAACATTTAAAATATCTTTTTTTTCAATTTTTTTCAAATCGATTGGTGCTGAATTTGGCAATGGAATGCTAGAACGAGCATCAATTTAGGCTCCCCAAGAGAGCACCAGATCAGCCCCCAAGAGAGTACCCCTTGGGGAACACTAGACCGGTGCTCCTCAAGAGAGCATTGCTTGGCTCCTCAAGGGAGCACCAGTTGGATTTGGCGTTCCCCAACTAGGTCCAGCCAGGAGATGACCGACCAATAGACAAATTTTTTTTTAAATAAAAATTATAGTTTATATAATTGTAATTTTTAAATTTAATGAAAGGTAAATTTGTTTGAAAAAATTATCATATTATCAAACAAATGGAAACATCAACAATTAACTAACAGTTAAACTTATGTATTTAGTGACAAAAACTTTTTGAGATGGATGGTCTATTTTCAATACTAATGAATTCACGTGAAATTATAATCAAAACTTAAAGTGGTGAAGATATTTTACTCAAAAAAAGTATGTTGATATGGTATTTTGATTAAATTGACGTGATGTTGACTATATGTTGATATAATGTGGTTATGCTAACCGAATCTAATAAATGTTAATTATTATTCAGTGTAAACAAAAAAAACACTGTTTATCACTGAATCACAGTGCCATCATCTTAAGTTCAAAAGGAAAAAGAATCCCGCTTGATTAATCCTAGAGAAAAGTTGCCATAAACCATACCAGGAAACCGGGTGGCTAGTTCTCTCTCTCTAGTCTATACTTAATTGAGTTTCTTTGTTCCTCTTGGGACAACTCAACCAAACCCAATAATCCTTTTCCTTTCTTTCTTTTTCTTTGGCAAAGAAGCTGATTCATTGGCAATCTTAAATCAAGTTTATGTTCTAATCTTCTACTACCTTTTCTTCTTCTGCTCTATCGCAACCAAGCTTTCGATTCGAAGGCACTGATGTCTGTGCTATTGTTTGTTTAGGCATTGCAATCAAAGAACAAACAATGTGGGCAGTTCTAAGGCAGAGTGTTGCTTCTTCTTCGGTTAGTTTTACCTACTTTCTTTCCTTATTGAATTAATTATTATTAAGTATAGTAGTATTTAATTAAAAATTTTGTGTCTTTTTCGTTGTTGGGATCAGGTTTTAGCCCAGTCATTGCAGGATGCTATCTTCACGATGTTACACTTGTATTTCAAATAAGGAATCGTCAATTCAAATAATTACAACGGTTGATTGTTCATTTCACATTTTCAAGTTTTTACCATGTTAACTTTCTACCACATCACCATTTGTGCCATATTAGCACATAATTAATCCCATACCAACAGAAGTGTGGTATCAATTAAGTAGAAGTGATATATCGACATATTTAATAGTTAAATTTAATTGTATTAAAGTTAGAGATCAAAATTAACAAATTGGTAAAATATAATATTAAATTTATTTAAATTA